TTAGTATTTTTATTTAGTTATATATTTTTTATATATCAGTATATATTTTATTTATTATATTTAATATTTTAATATATATATATTTTTATTTTAAAATTTTATATATTGTATAATTTTTATTAATTTTTTATTTATATATATATTATATTATTTCATATTATATATAATAGGGAATTATATATATTTTATATTTATATTTATATTTTTATTTATTATATATGTATATATATATTTATATATATATATATTTATTATTAAAATTTTTTTATTATATATATATATATATTAAATAGTATATATATATAATTTTTTTTTATTTTTATTACCAAAGGCCGATTCCCCCCAAGGCAAGGGGGGGCCCGAAAAAGAAAAAATTTTTACAATCCCTTTTCCATCACTGTCCTTTTCCAGAAGGGTGCTTCACACTACAGTTTTTTAAAAATTTCCACTTAAACCCCTCCTTCAGAGTGCAGGCAATGTACTTCCCATTCCGGACTCAAGTCCGGCCTGCCGGTTTCCCGGAAAACATTCCTAAATGTTACTTGCTCAAAACCCCCCAAAAAGCACGAAGTATTAAAAACCCTTTGTCTCCATTCATTTTATAAACACGCTCACGCATGCCCGCGGGGAAATCCAAGCCCCCCGCACACAAAACCTTTCCCTTTTTTCCCCCCCTCCAACCTTTTCCCAGGCCCACCCCCACCCCCCCTTCCTTTTCCCCTACAGACTGATACCTCTTGAAGTTTATTTTTTTTTTTTTTTATTTTTTTTGTTTTCCCCTTCTCTTTTCATGTTTCCCAACCACCCCAACAACCCCCCCTCAGCCCCCTGGGCAACAGTGGGGTGAATTCCCGCCACCTCCTCCTAACTTTAAAATACGAATTCTCTGCAAATTTTTTTCACCAAACCAAAACCCTTCCCTCAGACATGGGCATTTTCCCCCTGCCTCCCGCCTTTTTTCCCCGCTGAAAAATCATCACCCACGTTTACACCCCTATAAGAGGGGTTGGGAAAAAATATACTCTCATACATTTTCCCCCCTTTGCCCCCAAGGACAAAGTTTTTTGTTTTCCAAAAGGGCCTTCCCCAAGTGCACCACCACTCTTTTTCCCTTATCAATTTTTTTGATTCACCCCATCTTTTTTTAGACCCATCCGTGACCCGTCCCTTTCCCCAAAAATCTGGGAAAACGTTCACCCCCTTCCCCTAATCACTCCTCCAAATTTTGATATTCCAAACTTTCATTTAAATAAAATTTTTTTGTTTCCTCATAACCTTTTTTCTTTTTCCCGTATTCAACCCTTTTAAATTTTTTTCTTTTTGAAACCCCCCTTCCAAAATTTATCCCCCAATCTCGGGAACTTCTCTAGAATCTCCCAAAGGGGCACAGTGTATCAGCAAAGAAAAGCTGGGACAACTCCCCCTTTTGTGGTGATTCTTTTTCTTTTTTAAATCCACGCCTTTTTGCCAAAAACCTGCATTTACTTTTTCTTTTAAAAAACCCCCCCTATAAATTTATTAAAAAAAAACCCGGGGGACGTCACCATCCTTGGGTTTAAGGGGGGGACTTTTACTGGGAAAAAATTTCCCCCTTTTACTTTCTCTAACTTGAGCCTCCTATCCCCGTAAAAACTTTCCTGCTTTCGTAAAACCCACCCCCTTTCACCATAAACCCGCCCCATCTGCCAATTGCCCCCTACCCCCCTGGGCATACGCCTTTTCCCAAAACCTAAAGGGCCCCAAAAAACCTCTTTAGCCCTTTTTAAATTTCTGTTTTAATTATATGTTTCACTGTTTAAAACCCTGGTCCCAACCCACCCCTACCTTTCCCAAAGCCTCCCTTTTTATCTTTCTATCCTTTTCTCCGTTTATCTTAATTCTTTCAATTATAACTCTACCATTCACTTTTCCCGGTATACTCAACGACTTATTCCCCCTTAATTTTGCACTCCCCTTTTATCCCTTTCCTTTATACAAAGGGGAAATATGTTTCCCCTTTCCCAAACCCTAGGTACCCTTTCCCTCTTCCAAAACATTTATTAAATAATTGCACCAAAACCCCCTCAAAACTATATCCCCACATGCTTTTTTAAAATTTCTATCTTTAACCATCAATCCGGCTGCCTTACCCCCTTTCATTTTACCTACTGCCTCACCCCAAAAATTCCCCACACTCACTACTGGCTCTTCCTCACTCCTTTCAAGATGTTATTTCCCCCTTGGGCCCCATAACGAAATCACAGCTTCCCTTAAAACTTTATCAAATTTAAAAACCCAAATTTCCCCCAACTTTTTCCCCCCTTTTTCTCAATTTCCCCTAACCTCCATTTTTAAAAAATCTCCTCTCCTTTTTTTAAAATGACAAATCCCTTTTGTTCTCTAAAGGGTTTTTTAATTGTTAATCTCACCCAAAAAATTTTTTTATTTTCAACAAAAATTTTTTGTAAAATTTCACCCCCCCTTCCCTTTGCTCTTTTTTTCTTTTCTTCACATCTCTCTTAACCTCTCTCTTTTTCTCCTTACTTTTTCCCCCCTTGCATCAAATTCCTTTCTTTGTAAAAAACTTTTTTCAAGCTAAATTTTTCTCCCTTACTCCCCTCTTTACATCATCTTCCCCCAATGCTCCTCTTCCCTTGCACCCACTTTCCTGTTTAAACCCCAAACTTCTGTGAACACTCTAACACAATTTTTAAACCTAAACCCCTACCCCTTCGACCCCCTTGCCCCCTTTTCTCTCATTAAACCCTCTATCCTCCCTAGTGTTTTTATTTCCCCAAAATGCCTCCCCTTTTGTTTATAAACCCTTACCTTTCTTCCTGATGCTTCTTTTTTCCTTGGGATCCCCTCTACCTTTTACTCCGGTAGCTACAATAGAAAAATGATTGATATTTCTTGGGCCCCCCTATAAAAATGTTCATCCTGAAGTTACTCCCAAAAGTCTTTTATCTACCAATTCATAATCCCAAAAAACTACTGTCTTTTTCCCCCACATTCCATATTTTATACTTATTTATCATCTTTTTCTTAAAATTTTGTATTACCTTTTAAAAATTTTAAAAACCCCTTTTTAACAAAGTTTAAAACAAAAGGGGTCCTTTTTCATTTCAATGGCAACCCCAAAATTTCCCACCCCACCCCTCTAGAAGTTTCTCCTTCTTTTTTATTTTAGGTCCCCCCCCACAAATTTCTCTTCCCCATTGGGTTTAAAGGCTCCTATACTTTTAATTAACATCTCCCCAAAAACTCTTCTCTCCCCCTTTCCTTCCCCTCTTCTCCGGGGCATACACGCTTATTATGACCCAAATTTTGCATCCCAAACCCTTTTCTTTAATCCACATAATTTTTGAATTTTAAATTCATATTCTCTTTTCTCCTTCCTTTAAAAAATTTATATAAAAATTACGTACCCCCTTCCCTTTTCTCTAACTCTTCAGATAATCCCAAAATTTTAAACCCCTTTTTTTTCCCCCCACTGAAAAAATCTCTTAACCCCCCTTCAGCTTTGTTTCGATTTGGGCCGGGGGCATCCAACTTTTTTCATTCATAACATCAGCAATCAAACTGTTTTTTTTCATCCCACTACATCCCGCACATTTAAAGCAAAAAGTTTTATAAAGTTTTTCTTCTTCTCTTTTTTTGTAAATGTCTACAGGAGAAAAGGGGGTTTTTTTGTCCATTGCCTTTCCGGCTTTTAGTCGCCTCTACGGCACGCAAAGGCTTACGGAGGGGAAAAATTCTTTTTTTTCCCCTTCCCCCATGGACAATAGAAGAAATAAAGAAGAAAAAAAAGCCCATTTAGAAAAAGGAAAAAAACCTAGTGTAGGGATATTTTAAGCATGTGCGTGGGCTTGAAGTGTTTACCAAAGTGTTAAAATGGGGTTTGCAAAAATATCCCTGTTATCTAGCGTGTTTATGAACAGAAAAAAAAAAAACCGCTCCTCCCCTCATGCCAAAAAAGTTAAGGTTTTTGTTTTTACAGTCATCTGGCAGGACGGGTGTACTTCCCCGGGTGGTTGCTATTACCAAAACCCATTTTTAATATTTATATTTTATAATTTTATATATATATATTTTAAATTTATATATAATATATATATATATATAAAATTTAAAATATATATATATAGTAAATTTATATATGATTTTTATATTTTTAATATATATATAATGTATATATTATAGTATTATATTTTTATGTATATATATATATATTGTTTATATATATATATATATTGTATTTTTTAAGTTAAAATATTTTATTTATATTATATAAATATTTATTAAAATATATTTAAATATATTATATATATATATATTTATATAATTTAAATAATATATTTTATATATATATATATATATATAGTTTATATATATTTTTATTATATATATATATTTTACTGTATATTTTTATATTAATACTATATATTTTATATAAAATGTGTATTTTTTTATAGTAATATATTATATATATAAATATATATATTATATATATATATTTATTTATATATATATATATAAAATTAAAATTTTTAAATCGTGAACAAGCGACCCAAAAAGGCAAAACCCCCACGGGGCTTTTGAATGATAGCCCTTTGGTTTTATTTGTGTTGGGAATCAACACTTTTTTTAAAGAGTTGCATGTTAAAGAAAAAGAGTTGGGAAGGGCCCCTGTAGTTTCGTTCATGGGAAACCCACCAAAAACTATAAAATTTAGTTTTTTCCCTTTTGTTATTGGCAAAAAACATTTATGCTATATATATATATATATAAAATTTTATTTATATAATTTATATTTTTATATAATATATATATATATATATAATAAAATTTATATTTATAAAAATATTAGTTTTGCATTTACGAAAAAGTTTTTTTTAAACAAATAAAGAATCTCTTATTTTCGGGGTGAAAAACGGGTAGTGAAAGTTGAACCCTGGAAGGAAGGGGGGTGGACTATTGGAAATGTCGTGTTTTGAGGACAATGTGATGTGTATTTGCAG